AAAACATCATAGTGGAAATTCGTTTTAGTATCCAACACTGATAAATTTCATCCTCGTACTCTATATTAGTATGTCTTATTACTAGTTCTATAAGTAAAAGTAAGTAATTAATATGCATTAAACAATTTAGCAAAAATGATATTATAAAGAGCTTTGCTTCATGTGATGTCTGGTCCTACAGAGAATACATCAAGAGGAATTACTGTTTAGTTGTCTCTTTGGTGATAGAAGAAGAAAAACCCAAAGCATTGACCTTACAGCTCACACAGAGACTCTCAGACTTCGCTTTCCAAATCAAAGCTCCTTTTTTTTGTGTGTGCATTGCATTGAAGCTTAAGCAACGTCAGTTCCAACCAACAACAACAACAACAACAACCGCATTACATCATTTACTTGCAGTGAGACACGAACCCAAATTTCTCATTTTCCTTTTTTTGAGGTGGAACAAATCACAAATCTAAGGTTCTGATTTAGAAGTATTTTATAGAGAGTTTCGGGCTTCCTCTTTGATCCGATGTTGGTTCAGGATCGTGCGGCGCCGTCTCCTGCCAAGCCGCCGAAATCTCAGATCAGACAACTCCCTACTCATCAACAGATCCGGCGATTTAGTGAACCCAAAAACCTAGATTTCTCCACTTGGTTCTCTGAGAATCTCACCAGAATTGCTGTCTTCTCTCTCTTTATCGTTACCGTAGTAGCTCTCTTCTTCCTCTACAACACCACCGACACTGCCTCTCTCCTTTGTTTCCAGTCACAGTCAACTCAGTCTCTCCAATCTCTCTCTCGCCCTCAAATCAAGTGGAATTCGATCCGAGTCGTCTCCGATAAGACCTCTCCTTACGCTAATTTCCTTACTGAGAAATGGATTGTGGTGTCGGTGACCAAGTATCCCTCTGAGGAGCTCAAGAGTTTGGTCAAGATTCGTGGATGGCAGGTTCTGGCCATTGGAAACTCGGCGACCCCCAAGGATTGGACTCTCAAAGGTTCCATCTTTTTGTCTCTCGATGCTCAAGCTGAATTGGGATTTCGAGTTTTAGATCACTTGCCTTATGATTCTTTCGTCAGGAAGAGTGTTGGTTACTTGTTTGCTATCCAACACGGTGCCAAGAAGATCTACGATGCCGATGATCGTGGTGAAGTGATTGATGGAGATCTGGGGAAGCATTTTGATGTTGAGTTAGTTGGTAAAGATTCTAAGCAAGAACCGATTTTGCAGTATAGTCATGAGAACCCCAATAGGACTGTGGTTAATCCTTATATTCATTTCGGACAACGTTCGGTTTGGCCTAGAGGTTTGCCATTAGAGAATGTAGGCGAGATCAATCATGAGGAGTATTACACTGAGGTTTTTGGTGGTAAGCAGTTTATACAGCAAGGGATTTCAAACGGTTTACCGGATGTTGATTCCGTGTTTTATTTCACTAGGAAAACGACTTTAGAAGCCTTTGATATCAAGTTCGATGAGCATGCTCCTAAAGTGGCTTTACCTCAAGGTGTTATGGTGCCGGTTAATTCCTTTAACACTCTTTACCATTCGTCCGCCTTTTGGGGGTTAATGCTTCCTGTTTCGGTCAGTTCTATGGCTTCTGATGTGTTGAGAGGTTACTGGGGGCAAAGGCTTTTGTGGGAGCTTGGTGGTTATGTTGCTGTTTATCCACCTACAGCTCACCGGTTTGACAGAATCGAGGCTTACCCTTTTGCAGAGGAGAAGGATCTTCATGTCAATGTTGGTCGTTTGATAAATTTTTTACTTGCTTGGAGATCAGAAAAGCATAGTTTCTTTGAGACGATCCTTGATTTGAGCTTTGCTATGGCTGAAGAAGGGTTTTGGACAGAACAGGATGTGAAATTTACAGCTGCTTGGCTTCAGGATTTGATTGCTGTCGGGTACCAACAACCGAGATTGATGTCGCTGGAATTGGATCGGCCACGAGCAAGTATTGGCCATGGGGATAGAAAAGAGTTTGTTCCTAGGAAGTTGCCTTCGGTTCATCTTGGGGTTGAGGAGACTGGCACAGTGAGCACTGAGATAGGAAACTTGATTAGGTGGAGGAAGAACTTTGGTAATGTAGTGCTTGTTATGTTTTGTAGCGGTCCTGTTGAACGCACTGCACTCGAGTGGAGGTTACTTTACGGCCGGGTATTCAAAACTGTCGTGATATTGTCTTCTCAGAAAAACTCAGATCTCTATGTGGAAGAAGCTAAACTCGATCACATTTACAAGTAAGGATTGCTCAAGATTACTATATATTGGTTAAATTCAAGCTTCTGATAATAACTTTGTATGTATATTTCAGGCATCTACCGAAGATATTCGATCGATATAGTAGTGCAGAAGGATTTTTGTTTGTTGAAGATGATACAGTTCTCAATTACTGGAATCTACTTCAAGCTGACAAGTCTAAGATTTGGACTACAGACAAGGTACAATACTCTCATCAAATTGTCGGCTTTTTCTTCGCTATCGCTATCTCGATATGTATACCTTACAAGAAAACTTATTGTTGTAAACCAATGATTTAGGTATCAAAATCATGGACATCAGTCAAACCAACAGGGAACTCTGATTGGTTTTCTGTACAAGCCGAGCTAGTGAAGAAAACTGTAAGTACAATGCCAGCTCATTTCCAAGTGAACTACAAGGACGCCACCAAGAACAATCATGAGACCTTAAAGGTATGCAGTTCAGAGGTATTCTATGTGCCCAAAAGACTCGTAACCGACTTTAACGATCTTGTTGATCTCGTGGGCGATATGGACTTGCATTACAAAGTGGCTGTGCCGATGTTCTTTTTGTCGATGGATTCGCCTCAGAATTTTGATCCGGTTCTTGGTTCGATGGTATATAAGAGGAAATCAGCTTCGTTTAACACTTCTTCGAGTCTGTATTCTGCTAAAGCTCCTGCAGTTCACCCATGGAGCATATCAAGCGAACAAGATTTTATAAAACTGGTTCAGCAAATGGCTGAGGGTGACCCGCTTCTGATGGAACTGGTATGATTGACTCAGGGTATAGAGCTTGCATTACTGCAATGATAGAAACAGAGTTATACAAAGATTGTGTCTTTGATTCATTTCTCATGGTTCCCTTTTCAGAATTTTTTTCTTCTGGGGGTTGTGGAGTAAGTCATGTAATGTTCCATTGTAACCATACGTTTTGTGAGTGTATAATGTTTCCCTTCAAAAATCAGTCTCTACTTCATCAATGAAGACAAAAACAAATGTTTGAGACAGTTGGAAACAAGGCTGAATTTACAAGTGATGACACAATTTTGATCCCATAAAGAAAAGACATTGACATGTTTAAGGAAGCTTCGTGAAGAGATCCTGAAGTTGATTGTGGCTCACCACAACACCAAGTTTCTGAGAAATTGCCGTTCTCACAGTTTCAGGGTCCAAGTTCGACAATGTATCCGCACCGCTCATGGCAATATACTCGCTCAAATTATGCAAGATTCCATCTTCAGAAGCAAGACAAAAGTGAGCTGACGAAATGAAAGTGGTCGAGGAAAGAATGAAAACTGAGAAGTTACATCTTACCTTGGGCAATAATGGGTTCATAGGGTGGAGGTGGAGCAGTCCAACTTCCATCAGGCTCTTTCATGTGTCTTCTATCAGAAGCAAAATGCTTAAAGAAGAGAGGAGCATGCACGATGCGGAAGAACCTGATCTCAACCAAACAGAAAAGAAAAAAATCCAGCTACATTACATAATGTTGTATTTTCCCAGCCAATTCTATACTTGTCAATATTAAATGACCAAAACGCTTTGCTGTGCCTTTCCTAAACTGTTTTGCCCGTAATACAGAGATAAAGAAGTTGAAGAAGAAACACTTTCAATCTTGACATGCGTGAAACCAGATAACAAATATCTTCAAAGTCATAAGAACATACTTAGTGGTTCAGTGATAGGTTACCTCTGGTAATCTGCGTAAAGCTGAAAAGATGGCTGGATCGTTTCAGTAACATATGAGGTTAAGGGTGAAGGGAAGGGCAGAGTCGAATCAAGATCCCAAACCAAAGGCTCAGAATCACTTTCTTTCTTGCTCTGTTCATGCCAATACAAAAACCTAAATCAAGTTCAATTATAAAAACTGACATCAAAAACATTATGATATTAACCTGGACACAGATGACGTGATAATCCCACAGTACAATCCCATCAGCTCTGCGACTAGCTTTCTGATGCCATAGTGGAACCTACAAGATCATCTAGCCAAGATATCAATAATGGACATCGTAACAAACAAACACTCTGATTAACAACCGAGCACATTCGAATAACACTGAAACTTCAAAATGAACAATCAAAAGTCGTGAAACAGCATAATGGAGATATAATTCCAACACCAAACAAGACCAAACATAATAAATTACCCCACAGTGAAACAAAGATTATTTATGAGAAGAAACATGGCTTGCCTGCTTCTTTTCATTCGAGATGAAAACGACAAACAGATCAGAACCCGTTGAATCGGCTACACCATTCTCGCACAACGTCTTGCAGAGCAGATACACATTCTCTTCACTACAAAAGAAAGTCAACATCTTTATCTTCTATGTTCTACTTTCCAATAAGGCAAATAATCACCAAAGACAGAAGATTCTCCAAAGTAGGAACGAAATCAACCAACTACAACAATCAGTCTATCCTTTGAAGAAACCTAAATCTATGGGGAAATTTTGTTTGAAAAGAAGAAGAACAATACCAGTAGTAAGGAGTGTGCTGGAAACGAGTTGCATCCATTGCAATAAGCTCCGCGGTGACGCCGGACATTTCTAGTTTGGATTTGATCAGTGTGCTCCTCTCCTATTTGTCTACTTCCACCAATTTTGATCAGCTAATCGTGCGGGAATCTTAAAAGCGGTCGGTACAAATGGGAAAATGGTGACCGGAGAATTAGAAAGCAAAAAAAAAGTCTAATGCTGACGCCAAATCGTGAATAGCCTCAACGACGACGTATGCTTAATAAACCAAACGACGCCGTATAATGAATTGATTAAACCGCGCCGGTTTAGGTTTATCCAATTTCGTAATAGAATTAGATTCGGTCGCGCATGACTGAGAAGAGCAGTCACGATGGAGGAGAAGCCAGATGAGAATCATCGCCGGCAGATCTGCAACAGCTGTGACCGCCCAAATCCGATTTGTCTCTGCCACGTCATACCAACGGATCCAATTCCGACGAATACAGAGATCATCATCCTCCACCATCCCCACGAGTCACGCCACAAGCTCAACACCACACCTCTCCTTACCAAATCATTACGAAACGTCACCACAATCCCCACCCGCCGTCTCCGCCGCCGCCACATCTCCTCTGCCGGGGAACCCTCGGCCTCGTCATCACCACCAACAATCTACCTCTTCCCGTCTTCTCCTTCCTCCCCCGCCGTCACTATATCCGAATTCAAATCCCTAAACCTTGTAAACCATCGAGAGATCTCACATTCGTCGCCGTTGAGGCTCATCGTATTCGACGCGACGTGGAAACACGCGAAGGAGATGGTAAAGGCTAGCGAAGAGGTTCTAAGAGAAGCAGGAGCGGTTAGAGTGTGTCTGGATACGGGAATAGACGCATCCGTGAGCGGAGGAACCATATACGACTCGGAGCTTGTGCTAAGGAAAGAACCATTCGGAGGATGCGTAACTACGGCGGAGGCAGTAGCACGGTGCTTGGGAGCCATCGAACCGGACGGTGAAGAAATCGAGAGGAAGCTGATCAGTGTGCTGAAAGAGATGGTGAGGTTACAATCTAAGTTCTTAAAGCCCATGAAACCAAGACCAAAGCTACTGAAGAAGGGATTACAGAAACCACTTGAACAAGAAGAATGAGTTTCTTCCTTAGTTTCAAAATCAATAGTTTAGCGAAAATTTTGCTCTGTGATTGTTGCTGGCATTTTTGTTACATGAGTCCATTGTATCAACTCGTTCTTCTATATCATCAATAGTGATCAAACAGTTATGTGAATTTCTCAAACTTTATTCACATTTGGAGTTAAACAAATCAATCAGTATGCATATTTTTGTGAAACAGAACAATAGACTTTAGACTTTTAAAACTCGTCTATAAAAGAAGAAAAAACATAAGAGGACATGGGACCTTTTTCCATGTGAAATGAGAAATAGAGGGTGAGGGTCATGGACTGTTTTGTGATCATACAACTTTTGAGAATTTATGAATGAAGGTGACACCTTTTTTAATCACACACTCACTGACTCACATGATATGTTTTTAGGCTTTTCATCCCCCGATTTCATAAAGGCACATACATATTATTCAATCATCAAAACCGTTTTCTATAAATCCACATCCCTTTTTGTGGTCCATATATATATCGAATCTGGGATCAAAACAAGTCTGAGTCACTGTAATTAACGAGTCGTTTCTTTGTGAGGATGTTGTTTCGTCCATGACTGACTATAGAATGGATAACAAAATATACTGTTGGTTGTTAATCGATATTGTTGGTCGATCGTTCTCACTAGTAAATTCAGAACAGATATGATCTATGTTACGTAAGAGATAGAAAAGAAAGAAAGATCAAACTGGTAAGTTACGATTTCAACTTGCTACGTTTGTTTAGTTTACATGTTACTTAACTACATCTACTTCATTTATTTTACACTTTTTTTCTTTATGATTGAGTGACCTTCAATTCTAATTTTTATCCATTTCTTGATGGTGGTACAAGTTATTAAATTTATAGCACTATATGTGTTCGATTTTTTTTGGTTTGTTTACGTGAAGTTGACCTGGCAACACACAAGGATCAATGTTGTTCAAGTATCGATCGGTTAAGTGTTTTATAACAGCTTAAGACTTCCACTGATGAAATTTGTGAGATGTGAATTTAAGTTCTACGTACTTTATATGTAGATATGGTAATATAAAGTCTGTTACGTACCATCGGTGATGAGTTAAAAATCTTGAACTTTTTTGTTTTTTGTGTGTGTGTGTGTGTGTGGTTGAGACGTGACTCGTGAGAGGTTATAAGCGTATCATCCTGCGAAGAACGATCAAATGGTTCAAAGTGTGGTAGAGTTGATGACGATATAAATGGAAAACGGTGAACGTTTCGATGCATAATTGATAGCTATTTGATTTCTGAAATCTCCTTCTTTCCGTATATACACACTAGAAAGAAAAAAGAAGTGTGAAAAAGAGTGTAGAGAGAAAAAAAAAACGAAGAGTATCATCCGATGGTCCCATACGTCCATGAGCTCTGCCAAAAGCCTAAAAGTAGAAAATAAGGCTGTTCTACGTTTATCTTGTTATTGTATCCCAGTATTATTATATATATATATGAAGAAACACTATATAATATAGGTATATAATTCTTATTTATATAGAGAAAGTGCTTATCCTTCAAAAGGAGTTCAATCGTGAAATCAATCACATGCTGAAAAAGGACATCGATCGTGTCATCCTGAAATAGCGAAATGATGAGACCAATCTCTCCATCAGACAATACTTTTCTTTGTCCAACATTCTATAATGATAAGTGTGTATAGTAATAATGCATTGGGATGGTTTCAGTATTATTGTTTATACATAACTATATGTGTATAATTAGGTTGGTATCCCTACTATAGTAAAAGAGAAGTACAAAAGTTTATTGGGTCGGGTTTTTTTAAAAAATTAACCCGAAAATTTTCAATTGGATCTTACTACAAATTTAAAGATATTAAATACCAGTTTCCATATATATTATTTCGAAATCTACCAAATTAAACCATCAATATCGGTTTTGGAAAGTACATTAATCTTAATTTGTTTAAGGAAAAATACATTAATGTATGATTTTGTATATTGGTTTAACAAATTAACCTAAAAACCAGAAATATAAATTAAATATAAAATATTTATCAAATTATCCATAATATTTCAAAACAAAATGTTCCTTAAATATCTTATATTAATATTTAGATGTATAGTTTTCTCCTATATTAACTATGATCTTCACACCAATTACGGGATAATTCATTTTCAACCATCTTTAATATATTTATTTGGCAATAGTTTCGAATTTCTGGTTTGATTATAAAGCTAATCTTTTTTTCAACGCTAACCTAACTCTAAGAAAATATTATCTATATAAATAAGTTTCTGCTACCAGAAAATTGTAACATAAACACAGATTTTACATTTTAACACGATAAGAAATAAGAAATCATTGGCTCTTTATTTGTTTATTCTAGAGATTTGCAATTTTACAAAACTGCATGAAAGGTACAAGTTAAAATCATGTATTTATGATTATGCGGTGGACCGCGGGTCAGTCCCTAAACTTTAAAAATGATTCATAGTATAATATTTATACATGTATATATGTCACATATTGTTCTAAAATTAACAATCCAACTAAAATCATACAATTTAAATAATTTTGAACATATTCGAAACCAACACAAAAATACAATCTAAAAATGATAGAATTTAATTAATAATCAAAATAAAGTAAAGCAAACACAAATAAATTATCTCGCAACATACAAAGGATTAAAAACCCGGTAATTTTCCCCCTCGCTGTAGCGCGGGTCCGAATCTAGTATGTTTTGAAAAAGGGATGATAAAATTGTCTATAAGAATAGGTTGGTATATTGGGTGTTATTTTTACCAACTTTTAAGATAAACATGTAAAAGTAGCTATTGACAAGTGTTATTATTTAGTTCCATATCATATTATTAAAATCCAATATATTGGTAACTATTAATGAAAATAGCTAAAAAATAGGCACACCTGTTTTTTTTAGAACAAAAGTTTATATCATAATTATCTTATTTGATTTTCTTTCTATCTAAATAAGTTGCTATTCATTTACATTTGTAATAAATTTCCAAATAATTTATGTTTATGTGAGGTGGATGATTTTAAGTTTTTCAATTCCCATCTACTCCCAAAATTGCAATAAACAATTTTTTTTTCTTAAATTTGACTTTAATTTGTAATATTATAAAGTGTGATAAAAAAAAAGTAAAATTGAAAAGGCAACAAAAAAAAAACATTGGTCGGGTTGAACAACGACCGGATCTAATATCTTCGCCTGAAAAATTGACACACAGAGAGAGACTCTTCAAAACGTATTTTCTTCTTCCTTCTTCCTTCTTCCTACCTCCGTCTTCCTCGATCGTCGGCGGTAATAAAATCTAAGCAAATTAATAAAAACGTTACAAAAAACGCATTAAAAACTAAAGGGAGAGAGAGAAACGTAATTAACACACACAGCTCACAACCTCCTTTTCCAATCCCATTATTCAATTACCTTCTTTATATTTTTTTTTCTCCTTCTCCCTTCTCTTCTTCTTCCCTCGTCTTCTTCTTTGCCAGTTCTTCTTCTTCTTCATCATTTCGCCATTTTCTTAGTGCCACCCTTTTAGATCTTCGGGAAAGGTACTTTCTCTCTACCTCGATCCATTTGACTTATGGGTTTATTAACAATGTATGGATCATCTCATTTTTTCATATATATATATTTATCCGATTTGATCGTGGTCGTACCTTGCTCTGTTCATGATGTCGATCCATTGAATCTGAGTTTTCTCTATTTGCCTACGTCTTGCTTCTTCTCAGCTTAAAGTTTTGATATTTATCGCTTCGTTTTCGGAAAAATCGTGCTGGGTATTCAGCTGAGTCATGTTTGATCAATTCAATTCCTGGAAATCGCATAAGTTTGTTTTGATATTTTTCGAAATTTAGGCTGATCGAACCATCTTAATCTCTCTCTAGGCTTTTCCTGGATCATCGATAATTTTCTTGATCACTAGCTTCCCGGTATTGGATTTGAAGTTTTTTAGAAGAATGTTGCATGATCTCAATTTAGATTTACAGAAATTATGTACATTATTATACCACCAAATTCTAATAAATGCTTTGCTTGTTTCAAGTTTGATTGAGAAACAGCTTACAAGAAAGTGTTTGAGATCCTTCATCCAAGTAAAAATCAGACTTTATTGACGATCTAAATTTTTTAACTTTGCTCCGTATTTTTTTACTGGACAGGTTCATTGGCGTCTGTAGTCTATATATATTTGCTTACACAAAAAGAAAGAAAAAAGAAGAGGATTTGACAAAATGTCGTCTGGTTCAACAAAAGTGTTGGATCCTGCTTTTCAAGGAGCTGGCCAGAAACCGTATCCTTTCAGCAATCTAGCTACTTTTCCATTAGTTTTAGATATCAAAACAGGAATCTGATTATTATTTTTCCTGAGATTCCTGAATGTTCTGACTTTATGAGCTTGTTGAACTTTAACATTTGTTATTAGAGGGACTGAAATCTGGAGAATCGAGAATTTCGAGGCAGTTCCAGTACCAAAGTCTGACCATGGAAAGTTCTATATGGGAGATACATACATTGTCTTGCAGGTTTGGAATTCTTTTCATTGCCCTTTTCTGTCTTTTGATATCTCTTACACCACAGAGTAACACATGTGTGGGAAGTCTGCGTTCCTTTTATTATCATCACTCACATTGTGTTATGTTTATCTTCCATTTGCGCAGACAACACAAAATAAAGGGGGCGCTTATTTGTTTGATATACATTTTTGGATTGGTAAAGATACAAGTCAGGTACCTATCCCCAAGACTCTATTATTTGGTAACGCCTGTTTTTGGAATAGAAGCAAAGGTGAAACAGTGGTAGACGAACTTATGGTTTGATATTTTTAGGATGAAGCTGGAACAGCAGCGGTTAAAACAGTTGAACTCGATGCAGTTCTTGGAGGCCGTGCTGTCCAACACCGGGAAATTCAAGGCCATGAATCTGACAAATTCTTGTCTTACTTCAAGCCATGTATTATTCCATTAGAGGGTGGTGTTGCATCTGGTTTTAAAACACCTGAAGAAGAGGTCTTTGAGACCCGGTTATATACCTGCAAAGGAAAACGTGCAATCCGTTTGAAGCAGGTTTTAACTATTGTACTCTCTTCGCAGTAGCACAGTGATAACCAATGTGCCTTAACTTTTCTTC